ACACGAATTGTAGACATTATGAAAGATTCATTATGCATATATTTATTGTGTTTTAACAGAGATTTGTGAGATTGCGATGAACTCAGATGTCTTTTAGAGATTATAAATGCAGCGCTCTTTGCTGGCATTCTGCCATGCCAAACCATGCACGCAGCAGCCACTTGCTTTAGTTAAAAAGAACAGTGTTCTGTGAATGTTGATGCTTTAATAACAAATATTTATCGGTAATTTATCGGTAAGTAATTACTAATTACTTTTGAAATAAAGTAATCAGAACAGTAACGTGATTACTTTTAAAAGGAGTAATCAGTAATTTGATTACATTTTCAGAGTAACTTGCCCAACACTGGTCAGGATGAAAATACATGTTCAAATAAAAGACATAAGTCATATTTAACATTTCCCAAATTTACCAGTTTGATTCTGCTGCTTCTACTTCTTGGTCTATCAGAAAGAGTTTAGTATGTAAGTCGACTGAACAAAAAATAAAGTAATTGTGACTTTTTATCTTACAATTCGGACTTTTTTTTCCTCACAATTCGGACTTCTTGTCAGAGTTATGTGATATAAACTCGCAATTGCGAGTTATAAAGTCATAATTGCATGATAGAAACGTACAATTCTGAGAAATTAAGTCAGAATTGCGAGATATAAACTCGCAATGGTAAGAAAAAAAAGGCAAAAGTAGGAGAAAAAAGACAGAATTGTAGGATATAAACAAATACAAATTGTGAGTTTATATCACGCAGTTCTGAGGAAAAAAGTCAGAATTGTAGGATTTAAACAAATAAAAATGGTGAGTTTATATCACGTAGTTCTGAGGAAAAAAGTCAGAATTGCGAGATGTGAACTCGCAATTGCGAGAAAAAAAGTTTATATCATGCAATTCTGAGAAAAAAAAATTCTGAGATAAAAAGTCTAAATTACCTTGTTTTATTTTTTATCCAGTGGCGGAAATGGGTTTCCATAGTTTAGTTTATTTGAAGTAAAAAGTACTGAAATTAAGAAAAGACCCCTAATGAAGACAACAATCTTGGTCTCAATCTAAGTAATTACAAGTAGTCTCTAAAGCGTTTCTTTGACCCATTAGTGATCACTGGAACGGTCATCACCGCTGTAACGCGAGGAGGTAGCATGTATGCCACCATCTCCATAATCAATGTCTTCAAGGAAGGTAACCTTGCTATCCAGCAGGCTGGCAAAACCATGAGCACAAAGATTGTCATCCTTTGCAAGAAGTGCCCCTACATCAGACGAGGTAAGTGCCTTCTTCAGCTTTGGTAAATGGTAACACTAACATGCTGGACAGTTTCATCTGCCTCGGAGACCTGCTGAAGCACATCACTATAACCTCTCATACGGAATACATAATTGTGTTCCTGTTAGTAATGCTTCTTTGTTTGTCAGTGTAAAAACAAGGAATTATTTCAGTTTATTTTCCACTTCATTTCTGAGAACAGCATCTGTAGCATGATGTCAGTTACCACAGACTGAAATAACTTACAACAGGTTTTCTGTTAACTCAGCTGTGAGCTATGTTTGAGTGTAACATTAAAAAAAAGAGTAAACCAAACATTCCACAAATGTTTGCTTAAAAAAAGGATGCCTCGTTGGATTTTGGTAATGAAAAAACATACAAACTCTTCCCAATTCAAGCAGCGAGTTGCTCTTAAATGTGCATTCAGTAGTATGGTGTCAATTTAACTCTTTCTCCACCATTGATGGAATTTTACATAATTTATGGGACAACGCTTCCCTGCCAGTGACAGAATTGTTTGGCTTTCCGTGTTTTCACTGTTATATGGTAGGGGGCGCTATTACACATCTTCTAAAAGAGTACAAAATCTCTGGATCAAAACAGGTGAAGAAGCAGAAACAAGCAGTCGTGTATGTAAGCAGATGCATATGTAAAATAACACAATCATCAAATGTTAAACAGCATATACTGCCTAACCTTAGGCCATGTCCACACGTACACATGTATTTTTATAAAGAGTTTTTCCTTCTTCCGTTTTAAAAAAAATCTCCATCCACATGAAAACGCAAACGCATGCTCTGAAGCACTGTCAAGAGCATGCCAAACCAACAGGTGGCGATATAATCTCAACCGTAAAGCCATGTTGGCCAATCAGAAGCCTGAAAAAGTTTCCAGTAGGCGGAGATAACAGCGACGTCACAAGCCAAAAACTACACTGTCTACACGATAACACTGCAACCGGAGTTTTTGAAAATCTTCACCCTGGCAGGCGTTTTCAAAAATGTTCGGTTTCAGGGACCTGGTGCTGCGTTTGCGTGTGGACGAATGGCCAAACCACGTAGAAAAAGCTGCGGTTTTAAAAAATAACCACGTTCGTGTGGACAGGGCCTTACTGAATAAAATGTCAACTCAGGGTGTGGTTTAGGACTGTGCAAGCTTTGGAGGTGTTGATGGAAGAAATCTACTCCATCTATGTTTTAATCATCATTCTGAATCAAATCCAATCATTTGTCTTTGACAAAAATTAGATTTTCTCAGCTTTTTGTTCAAAATATATACTTTTTTTTTTTTTTATGAAACTTGCCCACATTCAAGTGTTGATAAAAAAGAATGCAAGAAGCTAGAATAAAATGGCATTTTGTTTAAAATCAGATGCTCTATTCAAATTCAAATATTCATACAACAAATATTCTGGGAGCCATGAAAATTTTGTGAAAATGATCAAAAATGCTGGCGGTGGCTGGCAAAAAAAAAAGGTGGAGAAACAGTTCAAATGTTTTACATAATAAGAAATAAATAGTATTTTGGTGAACAGTGGTGTTCCATCAATTTGTTCCACGTAAAAATAATAGCTGTAAGTTTGAAACAACATGAGTATAAGTAAATAATGACAAAATGTTCATTTTTCAGGGTTAACTGTTCCATTCAATTTGTTCAATTAAGTTAGTGGTGCATTAGTCGGCCCATTAAATAGTTCTTGGTAACATTGAAATAAGCAGCCAAGCGCATTGTCAAAATGTTTTTATTACAAAATCTCACTGTCATATGTTTATACGGTATATAAACATATGGAGTGGATAGTGCGAGTGAGGCCCCAGAGAAAAGCTGATGCAAAGCCCTTCCTGAATGTCTCTGCCGTTCCGTCACTGCATTCAGGTTTTTTCTGTGTGACGTCGCTAGGTTTGAACTACATCTTCATGGGCCAGGCAGATGAGGAGGGCCGTGGAATGATCGCCCCCCAACATTTCATCATGGCTTTCAAGTCCAAGAACCAGAGGGCCTTCAACATGCTGAAGAACAAACGCTGCTGAGCTCTTGCAGGCAATCTTTGGTCTCAAAATCCACACATGGGTGTGTGTCTTCATATTTGCCCTGCATGTCCCAACTTCCTTCATCGCCCTCTCCAGAGGAGCCCGAGGACTGTTGAAGCACATGGCACACACCTGGTTGGGCTCTCTTGGTTCCTACTTCTCTTCTTACTGTTGTGATAAACATCAAATTGGCAGAAAGAGCAAAAGTAGTAAGGCATGACTGGTGAAGAAAGCTAAAATGTAAAGATCAAGATGATGGTGTTTTGAATGGCACAGTTTACAAGATATTTCTAGATTTTTGATCAAATAGCAAAGTTAGAAGAGCTTTCTTGATGATGTCTAAAAGGCAATAAACTAGTAGCACACCTTTGAAATCATGCTGGATATGTTACATTTTGTCTATCAAATATTTTCATAGAAACAGATACCTAGTGGTGAATGTTAAGTTATAAATTATTTGTTTTATGAAAGAAAAAATAAAGTTAATTATCAGTTAAGTCTTGGATATTGTCTTCATGATTTATTTGGCATCTGTTTATTTGTATTGTAAATTTATTGAATTTTTTCCAGAATCAGATTTCAACCGATTTGAAAATGAAGATTTAAAGGAAGCTTTCAAAGTTCAAAATATTCAAGTAGTTCACATGGTCATGTCAGAACATCTGTTTCTAAAATTGCCTAGGGCTCAGAGTGCTTGACTATGAAGGGCACTATTCAAACATTTAACTCCTTAATAAACTCTTGAAAGGGACATATTCTACAATTATTTTCAAGTTTATTTTTTTTAAGAGTTTCTTTTCAGCATCAAAAAAAAAAAAAATTAATATTAGATATTCTCAGACGTCTTCAACCCAGCTCCTGGCCTCAGTGGGTTTGTCCTGTGGAGTTTAGGTCCAACCCTAATCAAACACACCCGAACCAGTCAATCAAAGTCTTCATGATCACTTGACATGAACAAAATTACAAGCAGGTTAGAAATAAACGCTGCAGGACAGTTGGTCTTCAGGAGCAGGGTTGAAGACTGTGTCTTTACAATACATTAAATGTGAATTAGTCTTAAAATACATATTCAAATACTGCAAGTTACTAAGAACTTATGCAAGTTCAATATAAAACATTTCTTCATAATAAATGTTATTTATTTGAAAAGAATGACACTTTTAGAAAACAAGTAGGATGCAAGAATATTACATAAGTTATGATTCTGCAGGCTTTGGTGTAGAATAAACAGAACTTAATACTATTCCAGTAGAGTCCCAGGACTTTTTCATCTTCCAAAGAAAAAGAAGAAGAGTGTTGTTGAGCATGCTGGGTCACTTTTACTAAATGCACATGGCTTAGCTTCTGGGGTAAAACATGGCATATTTGGAGGTGCGGAAGCCCAAAAGGTCCCTCATTTCATTGCGGAACTTGGAGAGGTCTTGCCGCAGATCATTGAGGTTCTCTACCGTGGCCTGGTCCATGCTCTGCATCTTCTGCCTTGTGGAGGTCAGGTAACGGTGAACAAGACAGCACATAATCTTCTGATAGTTCTCATCTCTTTTCTGCTTCAGGTTCCTCCATTCCTGGAAGCAAAGAGTTAGAGGATCACTGGCAAGCTGACTGTAAGGCACAATATGTCTAGAGCTTGCTTCTCTTTCACTAACATGGTGCCAATTCCAAGTTACCCCTTTTCCACCAAAAGGGTGCACACTGTGGTACCAGACCCGGTTCTCGGCCAATGCTCAGGCAAACCTATTGCAAAGTGGTGTCATTTTTTCCACCGAATTGACAAATGAACTGTAACAGGATGTTACGTTGCATGTTAATTATGCTACTACACAAATAGCCCAAAAGATAAACACAGCGCCAGAAGTGACCAATCCTGCTCCTTGAGGGGCAACTTCCTGAAGAGTTTAGCTCCACCTGCCTAGAAGTTTTGAGCAGTCCTAAAGATCTTGACTACCTGGCTCAGTTGTATTTCAATTACGTTTAAAGTTAAAGCCTTCTGGGTGCAGGATTGGCACCCCTGGTGTATGCAGTTATGGAGTTGTTCATAGTACTGAGAGTGAATCTTGTGTACCGACAGTTCTCATAAACCAGGGGTGTCCAATCCTTTTCCTGGAAGGCCACTGTCCTGCAGAGTTTAGCTCCAACCCCAATAAAACACACCTGAGCCAAGGTCTAACTAGGCATACTAGAAACTTCCGGCAGGTGAGCCGAGGAAAGTTGGAGTGAAACTCTGCAGGACAGTGGCCCTCCAAGACTGAGTTTGGACACCCCTGTCCAAACCCCTGCTGAGTTTAGCTCCAACACACCTACCTGTAGGTTTCTAGTAATCCTGAAGATCTTGATTAGATGGTTCAGCTGTGTTTACTTGGGATTGGAGCTAAACTCTGCAGGAAGGTGGCCCTCCAGGAACAGGACTGAACAACCCTGTCATAAACTTTGAGCTCTCTGTTGTTCCTGCTCTCGAGAGATTGAAACTGGACAGGCAGATTTACTGTCTTTATTTTGCATATGGACAGGTGGACATATGGACACCCTTGGTTGTCCACATCAGGGTTGGAGCTAAACTCTGCAGCGCTTTGGCCCTCCAGGGCAGAGATGTCTTTAAGAGCAGGAGTTTTTACTTGATTGTCAATAGGTCAGTTATCCATATACCAGTAAATGCTAATTATGGATAGACAGTACAGTAGGCAGATTTCCCAAATATAAGGGTGCTTTCACACCTGTAGATCGATTGCTTTGTTCCGAAACATGGATTAAAATTATTACAATGTTGCTTTCTATTCTTGGTGCAGTTCGCTTTCACATGGCAAAGTTTCTAAACGGACCAAATTTGTTAATGCAAGTCACACGTGTGTCGTCTCCCAGGTTCCGAAACAACGAGCCAGGTGTGAAAGCACCCTAAGTTCACATATGTCTTGCATACCTTGAGGCTATTCTGTCTCTTGACCTTGCCTGTGGAGGTGTGGGAACAGATCCATTTGCTCAAGCTGATGACCAAGTAACACACGGTCTTGGGAGAGGGTAGGATGTTGAAAGGTGGAGGCAGTGTGCACTTGTCATCGAAGTAGCTGAGCCACAGCTTGGCCCGGGCAAACTTCCACTCCTTATCTTCATGGTTCTGCAAGCAGATAAAATCATCAAGGTACAATAATGCCTTCACTACCTATTGCTACCTGCCTGATGCATGTTTCCACATGTACAAGTAACTACATGTATATGTACTCATTCACATCTTCCTGATACAAAGAGTAATATACCTGAAGATTGCTATCTGTTAGTATTCCCATTTATCACAATTGTGAGTGATTAGTCACATGGCACTTGATGGCTCAGGTGATTTTGTTCAGAACTGAGTGTCCATAAGCAATGATGTCAGGTTCCAGGTCACCTATTTCCAGTGTTATATGCCAGCTGATCAAAGTTTGTTGAGATGAACAGGAATTAGGGGTGGGGGGAAAATCGATACAGCATAGTATCGCGATATATTCCGTGGCAATACTGTATCGATACATGGATGCCAAGTATCAATCTTTTATTATACTATTTGGTAGAATAATAAAATCAATTTCTTTACAGCCCACTAGATGGTGGTGTTGAGATTTTTCTGGTGAGGTCAGCTGGGTCACCTCCTGCATGCAGCAAGTTAGTAAAATACAGATGGCGGCAATGCGGAAAGTTATCAGGAAAGCCCCGTCCACGTTTAAATCGGATGTAAGACTTTGTTTTATTTATTTTAAATTTATCAGTAATTTACTTTCAAATGCCCCAATTGCTGAAGGGTCTGCACTAGGGCTGCATTATTAATCGAATGCGATTGTAATGCGTATCTTGTCATTAAAGCCGGTTTTGTGATTAGTAGTAAATCTCTATCACGTGCTTTCAGATGGAGCAGCATTTACTACACAGAGCCGTAGATCACTAACAAGCTACGCAAAATCGCATTCATAATCGCAGACGAAATAATTAGTTATTGAAAAGCACCACATTTAATAACATGTTTTTAGTCCAAACTCACTTCATAACATCAGTCGAGTGTTTTAAATAAATCCTTCTGTGAGATGATGTGGCATCTTACACAGAATAAGGCATGCAACATATTTCATAGTATTCTAAGCAGTGATAAAATGTCGATTAGCATTGCATTATTATATACTTTATTATAATAAAAATTATAATAAGGAGAACTCAGATAAACCTTATCAACCAAATATATTTTCGTAGTTGTGTGTTTATTAGTCATGTTGAATCAATGAAAGCAGTTAAATCCTCTGTTTATTCAGCTGCAGCGATAGGCATTTCCTGGATTTCTTCTTCGGGGCATATTTGGAGTTTCAGTGCAAGAGTGCCCTCTGGCCGATTTACTACTGATCACAGAACCGTGCAGCAATAAAATTGAAGTGAGATAAACTGAGAAAGGTTTCTTTTTAGTTAAAAGTTGTTGCCAAAGTTTTCCCTTGGGGACATAATTTAAAGTTGGAAAAGGTAATAATTACAATATATCGCAAAATATCGCAATATATTTAAAATCGCAATAATATTATATCGTGACACAAGTATCGTGATAATATCGTACCGTGAGGCCTCTGGTGATTCCCACCCCTAACAGGAATGCTAATGGATAGACCTCCTTCAAACAACCGATTAGACCACATTAAAATCTCTGCTGCCCCCATTAGGTTTGGAGAACCCATAGTGTTTATGTGATGTTAACACTGAATGAATACGTGAAACTTCATTTTATTAAATCTACTTGTCAGGAACACAATTATGGTATCATCATGTATCATGTTGAGAAAGCATCAAATCATCTCAAGGGTCACTTACAGCAATCTGTCTGAAGCTCTTATGCAGCATGGCCACCAGGAGTTTGGTGAGAACGATGACCACAACAATGTTGTAGGTACCGATGATAAGAGCACCAACAAACGACCGCAGCTCCTCTGTGTAGCTAATCCTTGTAACAAACAGAGCCACATGTGCCAGGGAAAAAATGTACCAGAAGAGGGCGTAACATGTCCCCATAAACCTGGAGAAAGTTAAAGATAAATGATTATGGTAAAAGATTTCATTAAAGCAGACCTCTTTTTTTTCATGGTCAACATGGTACCTTGCATCTTTAGAACAATGATTTATGGCCTTGTCCCAAATCGCACCCTAAACCATTGTGGTCTTCCTTTGAGTATACACTTTCGTGGCGTAATGCTGCTTTGACTGTCATGTAAAAGTCAAAAGGGAGCATAGTGGCTGCAAAGGGGGTGCTCATGAGCACCCTTCTGGAAGCTAAAATGATTAATGGGAAACCATACGGTCTTGTGGACTTGATAGACAGGTGTACACGGTAGCCATTGCAAGTCTGCAAGACCGCAAGTGCACATGAAGTGTGCCAGTTGGGAAAGGGCTTGTGTCACAGAAAGCTAAAAACTATTTTGTCTGTCAAATA